GTATGTAGAAGTTCTTACGTAGTTAGAGCCAGAGTAACACTGCAAGCTCCAAGGCAGGATGGCCCAGGAGAGGGGCTCGGGAGGCTACCAAATGAAGCACAGGATTTTCGCGCCCTGTCAGAGAAGCTCCTGGGGGCTTGGCGAACAGGCTCTCGCTGTCCTCACTGCCTGCACTCACTCCTCTCAGATCTCAGCCTAGGCACTAAGAACCTGGGCAGTCTGTACACCTGTATTACAGAACGTGTCATCCCCAGCTGGAGCTGAGCTACGTATTACTGTGTCTCCCTGAATAACAAGGGCTGGTCTTTGTAATTCCAGTGGTTAATTCAGTACTCAGAATTACACTTATAGGCAATGTAAATCAATATTTCAGGAGACAAGAAAAGAAGAAAAGGAAAAAGACACAAATGGGTTGACTTTTAGGAGTTTAAAGAGTATGCATTAATTTATTCAATATAGCACATATTTCTCAGTATGTGTTGCGACTTGGTCTGTCATTATTTTTTTTTTTTAATTTTGTTTTGTTGTGATGGTTGTGGTTTGGTTTGGTTTGGTTTTTACACAGGGTCATGTTATGTAGCCCAGGCTGGCCTGAAATTCACTATAAAATCCAGACTGGCCATAAACTCTCTATCCTCCTGCCTCAGCCTCCTGAGTGCTGGGAGTATAGGCCTATGTACCACACCCAGTTTGCGATGGTTAATCTTGATTATCAACTTGACTGGATTGAGAAATGCCTAGGAAGTTAGTACAGAACACTTTGGGACTGAACGTGAGTTTCCAGAGATGATTGGCACGTGGGACAATAAATTAAAGGAAGAGACCTGGCACTGTCCGGCAGGGAGACAGAGGGCACGGAGGAAGCCTGCCGGCACCTGCTCCTCCTTGCTCGTCTGCTTCCTGGCTGCCCTGAGGAGGCCAGCTTTGCTCAAGCACAACCCCTCTGCCAGCTCTACCTCCGCCACCCCATAAATGAAGCCAGTGACCATGGACTGAGACCTCTGAAATCACGAGCTACATTAAACCTTTCCTCCTAAAAGCTAATGTGCAGCCCTAGCTCTTTTGTCATTTCTAGGAAAATGAAGATTGATTTTAAAAATCTCTGACATTAGGCCTCTGGGCAGAAAAAATCACACTCTATTCATGTACCAAGTACCTTTCTCATTCATTAGGATTCCATGTCTGAGTATGAATGCATTTGATTCATGTTCTTCTGCCCTGAGACAGAGACAGCCACAAGGGCAGAGCCCACATCTAGCTTTGTTATATGTGGTGTACCCAGTGTCTGGGGATGGTGTTCAGTTGACTGAAAAAATGAACAAATCTATCCCAAGGCCAGTCAAAGAAAAGGAAAGCTAATCAGACCCAAAGACTTCAACAGACTTTTCTTCACATAATTTTGGATGTAACCATGGCTGCACAAACAGGTGCATTAACCCTGGTGGCCACACGAGGTACACGGTCAGGGCTAAGTGAAGGGCCCGGATGACAGTCAGACTCTAGAACAGAAGGGAGGTGCCTGGTTTGCTCACTGTTCCTATGCTTCTAGCCAAGTGTGGGTCCTACATATCGCCCATGCCTGCTTCTGTGCACTTAAGGGTATTATCCGTTTTAGCCACACTAATCCTTATAAATAGGCAAGTAGTTAAAAAAGATCCAGAGACTGAAGATAGCAAACGCTAAGCTAGTAATACCAATCCTATGAATATCACAACAATGACAAAGCTGGTATTTTTCCCTGCTTCTAATATGGATTCATCACTTGCCACGTTATGATTTCAGAACAATGGCTGCTGGTCACATGCTACCTAGTCAGCACTTAGAAAAAATAAACACATTAATCTGTCCCTTCAGGGACGACATCCTAACATCCAGAGAAAAAGTTACTGCATTTTGAAAATGACAGTTTTGCAGATAACACTTTTTTAATGGATGTGTTAAAATGCTGCCACTACTATACAATTTGGGTCCTAAAGTCATGTAAATGAATAAACTATGAACACAGCAGTCCACATGCACCCACCCAAACTTCCTAATAGAATCTTCTAGTTAGTTTCTAAGATGCCACCTGAAGAATAACTGAGGATTATGAACTCACCCCCCCAAATCTAAAACTACAGGACCTTTCAATTAGTCCATAAGAAATGACAAATGTCAGAAAATTTATTAGCTGGATTTCAGAGTAAATTGGAACATAAGTGGTGAAGAGAACTAAAAATGATTATTATGATTTAGTAAGCTCAGCTCACATCTTTTAAATGTTTACCTTTTCCATTTTCCTCCCAGTACCAGGGACTGAACCCAGGACTACCACACTAAGCTACATCCCCTACTCTTTTCATTTTTTATTTTCAGATAGGGTCTCACTAAGTTGCTAAGTCATTCAGGCTGGGCTCAAACCTACATTCCTCCTGCTCCAGCCTCCCTGCATGTGAGGAGTACAGACACGTGAATGTATTGTTTTCATTTATGATCACCTTCAAAACCAAGTATCAAAATGTATGAGACTTAAAATCAGAACTTTGAATTGCTACATCACAAGTTGTTAAAGTGAAATTTAAGAAGAATAATAATGAATAGTCAATGAAACTGCTTGTATCAAAAGTAAAATTACTGTGAACAAATAGGGTTCCTATAACTTTTGTAAATAATTTAAAATATTTAATAATTTATATAATTCCCATATATTTTTCTATTTTATTTATGTTTATAATATATTGATGAGAATGCATGATTAACAATGTTTTGAGATTGCTACTTTAGGTATCAGGAAGCAGTTAACGGATTTTAAATGCAAAAGAATAAAAATATCAAAATTGAATTTTAGAAATACAATCCTGGGGATAGCAGACAGGAGAAAAATGTTTGAAATAAAGTAGTTTAAAAAATGAACTTGTGACTACACTAACAGCGGAAAGTATCCACAGCCACCAGCGACCCTCACACTGGGCCTTTCTCAGGGCATTCGGGTGTCCGCTAGCAGAGCCTTCCTGCAGCGCAGCCCCAGGCAGCGAGGGCAGGGAAAGGCCAGGTGGAGCCCCAGGGGAACGCAGAGCAACACTGGGCCCCTGAACTCGGAATGCTTACTATTTGTTGTAGTCTAGGAGTCAGGCTAGAAAAGGCCAAGTACATCTACTTTCTGGCACTTACATTTATGATTTTTTTAAAGTTATTTTTAAAAATTTTAATAATATAGCAGTACAAAAGTAAGCTATTGATTCCCTACCTCCTTATTACTACATCAAATCCATCCCTCATGGTAATCACTTATATTTACACTTTATTTCCTTCTAAATTTTCTCCTGTACACCTATATTTTACATATATATGTGTGTATGTATATACATATATTTGTGGGGATATAGATGTATAGTTTTTGCATAATTTTCTCTATGAAAAATAGGCTCATCTTCATACTGTTCTAAAATTTGCTCTTTTCCCTTAAGGATATTTGATGGTTACCCTTCTGGGACAATCTACATGGACCTCACCCCTTTCTGCAGGGCTGGAGAGAATATTACCATACGGATATACCACAGGTTATTAAACCTTCCTTTGTGGATGACATCAGCAGGATTTCTAGTTTCACTTTCATAACAAAGCAGCAACAGACATCCATGCACACACATGTTTGTACACTTCTTTGAGGAGGGCAGATTCCTGGAAGTAAGAGCTTTGGGGAAAGAGTAGGTGCAGTTAAACTTTGATCTCTACTGCAGAATGGCTACACTAAACTGTATTTCCAACACTAAGGTTCATTTTGACTTTCTTTCCTCATATCTAATGATGATGTTTTTACAGATTCCCAAATTCAAGTGGAGATCTCAAGAGGCGAACCTTGCGATCGACATACAAGGAGAGGGAAGCTCCAGGATGCGAAGGTGAGGCGCCTGGATCTCGCAGCCCCTGAGCTCCGGCAGGCACACAGGGACATCTGCTCCTGACCTCCAGGATGGAGACTGGGTCAGCTGACCTCAAGTACAACTCCTGTCCCATCGGCCACACTGACAAGTGGGAAAGGGGCTGATTATCTCCTTTTCCTTGCCTATCGCCAGCAAGAAAAGGAATAAAGCAACAAGTTCTGGAAAGATGCAATGACAAGAAGGGAAGAGAAGGAGAATTCTCCATCTTGGGGCAAAAATGGGTGCCCAGGACGGAAGGTACCTGAGCCAGCGGCATAGAATGAGCGGCGCAGTAGAAAGACTGACACGGGCTAACCTTAGCAAACCCTTCCATGGCCTCAGTGCTTGTACGAAAAGTTTCTTGGTTCTAAATATCTCCATGTGGTGTCCAACATGAGTGCCAGGACTGAAACCCAATTCTGAAGAGAAATATCAGGAAAGAACTAACATCCCACAATGAAGAAACATCTTCAAAGAAGATGTTGTTATAAAAATACCACAAAAATACTTTCCAACAAATTCCAGACCAAAAAGTAAAGCTTTAAAATGAAGCTCCAAGTACAGAGGTCTTGAATCCTTTGCTGTGTGCCTAGAGAGGCCCAGTTAGAGGAGGCGTTTCCAACCCCCCACACTGCCTCCATTTGACCAGACCGACAGGTCCGGCCAGGAGAAGAGCAGGGGCACCCGCATCTTCCCAAGCAGGAACAACCTAGAACCAGGGCAGTGAACTTGGGAACAAGGCCAGGCTGTGACTACTTTCTACTTTGCAGGCCACCTGGTCTCTGCTGCAACTACTGGACCCTGAAGCAAGGGTGAAAAACAGCTGCAAGCAACACATGCGGGAAGGAACACGGCTCCAGCGCAACTTTATAAACAATGAAATTTCAATTTCTATGGAATCTGCACGAAATATAATTAATTTTTTCACAACCGTTGAACAATGTGAAGACCACTCTTAGCATGTGGGTTGTATATAACAGGTAGTGGGCTGGACTGTGCCATAATTTGCTGGTTTCTAATTCTCAAAGGAATCTGAATGCTGGTGGTTAGAAGGCAGAGAGGCAGAGACCGCCGTCCTTAAAAGGTCTCAGGTTTTACCTTAGATCTCTTCTCTTGCTGACCTCCTCGGGTGGAACTGTCCAGGGCAGGCTTTGAGGGAGACACTCCAGAACTTCTGAAGAGAATTCGGAGAAATCGACCCCATACTCTGTAAGGATTCCCTCTGTCTCAGGCTCGATTTCACCAGCCTGCCCAAGACTCTTAGCCAGCTGCCTGTGGACAGAACAGAGGGAACAGCTGGGTTAGTGAACAAAGGTAGTGTAGGCCCCCATCTCCACTCTAAAACGCAGGAGTTAGGAGTCTTTAAAATCTCCTGCCCCTCCACCAGGAGGAATACAATCACCTGTGTACTGGACAGGAGGCAGGCAGAAGAAACGATGATACTCCTGTCTTGGGAAATCCACGACCACAGTGGAATTTTACCTTCCCGTGGCAAGCAGGCCTTTCTTGAGACTCCTTCAATTGTTCTTCATGGAGAAGCCAACACTGACATCATGAAAGACGTGCACCAGTGCTCTGGTAAACACCTTCCAAGGGGCACCGGCCAACTCAGGCTGCCGAGAAATCATTCGCTGCAGAGCACCCCTACCTTAAGCCACGCACACCTGAACAGACCTGATCTGTGGGTCATCGACATGCGTGCACCGGGCTGTACTCTCACCTATCAAACTGTCACGCCACACACAGAGCACACATCTGACGTGTGTGGAACAGAGACAGGCAGGAGGAAATGTGATCAGAGCTGCAGCAGCTGCCCTGTGGAGGGTGAAGCCGAAGCAGGCCCCTCCTCTCTCACACAGGTCTGCGCAGCCCTCTACCAGCGGGAGCCAGAGCCCCACTCCAGCTCTTCCTGCAGGGAGCACAGCTCTGGCTTGGACCTTCTCTGGGGCCACCGATTTCTATGAAGAAAACTGCCTTCCACACAACAACTAACCCCGGGTTGCCAGAGTCCTTGGGTCCACAGTGGTACCTGGGAGCTGGCTGCCGAACAGGCAGACTTTTGAGAAACCCCAATCTTCAGCTCTGCCCCTGGAATGCAGCGCTGGCAGCAGCAGTGGGGCAGTAGGGCTGGCCCCCTCGCTCACACCTGCTGTGACGGAGTGGCCACAGCCCACGAGCACCTGCCCATCAGCCTGTTCTGGGCACCTTGGCACTGACCCACGGGCTCCTTGCACACCATGAGAGCACAGACCAGCACCTTCCTGAACACAAGTGAGACCTCCCCAAAAGCACACCAAAAGCCAAGACCGCAGAAACACAAGGGGACCCAAATAGTGAAATAAAACCTCAGATGGGTTAAGGAAAGGGTAAAAGAGAATTTGAAAATATTTTGAATTCCATAAAATAAAACATATCAATATTTATGAGAAGCAGCCAAAACAGTGCTTCAAGGGAAATTTATAGCATTAAATGTTCACATTAAAAGAGAAGAAAAGTGTCAAACCGATGATCTAAAAGAATGGGAGAGAAAGGCCACGGATTTAGCTCAGTGGTGCCACGCCTGCCTGGCAAGTGCAAGGTCCTGAGTTTGATTCCTGGTACAGAAAAAACAAAAACAGCAACAACCAAAAACAGAAAATCACAAGTTATATCCCAGGTAAGCAGAAGGAAGGAAAAGATACAAAATAAGAATCAATGGGTAGAAAATGCAGAAAGATAAAAGAGATAAATTTCTAGTCAGATTGATCTGGAAAGGCAAGTGACAAGTGTCAGGTGTGAGGGGGACAGTGCTGTACGTCCTACAGGCATCAAAAGGGAAAGTGAGCTGCAGATGACTTTAGGCTGGTGATTTCAACATCTAGGAGACAGGGACAGAGTCCTGGGAAGACACAGACTGCCTAGGCATATTCAAGAGTAAGTCTATGTCTGAACATTCCTGTATCTATTAAAGAAACTAAAGGCACAGTCCAAAGCCTTCCTACAAAGAAAACTGCAGGTCCAGAAGGTTTCACCGATGAATTCTACTAAATATTAAATTAAGAAAACATAATTCAGTGCTATATGAAAAGGATAACACATCATGACCAGATAATGCAGGATTTGTCTAACATTTAAAAATCAATCCATATAGTTGATTGTAACAATCAATAAACATATATAATCATTTCAATAGAGGAAGAAAAAGATTTGATAAAATTCACTCAAGAAAAAAGCTGTTGCGTGATTAAATTACAGAACCTTCCAAAGGCTCCAGAGTTGCCCTCGTTCATGCCCCTTTTCTGGGCATTCGAGCCTCTCACTATTTCTGTGAGCCACACAACACCTTTCCAGTAAGTTCCCTTCCCAACTAGACTGGGTTCCTCTTGCTTGCAGCCAAGTATTTAGGCAGTTTAGCACCCAGGTCCCTGGGGAAACAGAAAGCTTTCTACACTGCTGGAGATACCTCAAAGCACTACAACTAGACATTTCATTTGACCCAGGTATTTCCTTTCCAGGTGTCTCCCAGAAAGAGATAAAGACATCATACTACAGGGATCCATGCATGCTCCAGTTTATAGCAGCACAATTAACAATAGCTAAATTTTACAAGTGACCTACGTGTCACCAACAGATGACTAGATAGAGAAAGTGTAACTACTGTATACACACAGTGGAGCACAGCTCCACCAGAAGGAAGGACAAACTTGAGTCATTTATAGGAAAATGGGTGCAACCTGAGACACAGTGTCAATGAAATAAATCAGACACACAAGCTTAAATATCACATGGCTTCTCTCATATGAGAAATACAAAATATAAGTAAAGAGCAAAACAAAAGATAATAGGAAATAAGGAGATAGGTCTGTTGCAAAAGGGAAGGAGACCAAGAGACGGAGGGAAGAGAGGAGATGAACAAAAGAACGAAGATGTGTTATGTACATATACCAACTCCTCACAAAGAATGTATAATCACTATGTACTGCAAGCATATATGTGTGTGTATTGTTATAATTATTCTATTTTAGTTATTATTAATATCCTGCTGTGCCTAGTAAATTAAACTTTATCATAGGTAAGACACTTGAAGCAAAGATGCAAATGCATAAGGAATAAGTCAAAAATGGAGAGAAAAACTAGGCTTTTAGACATCAGAAGATAAAGAGAAAAGAATAAAACCAGAGACATGAGGGTTACACTGGAAATAACTAATGAAAAACTGACACTATTTGAAAATAATACAAATCATAGAGAAAAGCGAGGAAACTGAAATATGAAGTACAAAAGAGAAAAGCGATTGATGTGAATGGCCACTGAAGGAGGTCCAACGTCGGTACGGCTGGTGCTCCTGAAGGGACGTCTAGAGGCCAGGGACAGAAAGCATTTGCAAAGCCATAATGAAGACAGCTTTCTGAAGTAGAAGAAAAGTCAAGTTTACGGACAGAAAAGCTCTACCACATCTTAGGAAGAACAGAAAATCATCACTGAAACCTAGTCTGAGGAAGTTACTACATTTCAAAGGCAAAGATTTCCACATACAGGAACTCAGGGGATGGTGTTCTCACAAACCCTTTCTGGAAAACTACTTGCTGATGCTGTGGACAACCAGGAGATGCCTGGGAAGACTTCAGGTGCTGGGCCCTGTGGGTGTCTAAAGGGGTCAAGAAAGTGTGGCAGGAGGCGACAGGCCTGACCCAATATTGTCAGGACAAGTCAGGGCAGTCACTGGGTCTTTATTGGAATTAAAGAGAAAAAAAAATTTTCTGTGTTCTGGCAAAATTTTTCACTAGGTTATATTCTAAGTCCAAAGAATCTTAATTTGTTTACTGAAATTACAACATGGCTTATAAAGACAAAATTATATTTTAGTTATGGTTTCCAAATATGATCAATGACTCCAAGTTCCTATTTGTAGTAATTAACATTTATTTTACTAAGTTCTAGAGAACATTTCTCAAGTGCTTTATTAAAATAAATTTATTACAGGTTTTCACTGAGATATATTTAATAGCAGCACAGGCTGTAGAGCTTACAGGAGATAAAAATCTAACAGGTCAGCATGTTGAAAGAGCTCACGCTTTGGGGCCTGCAATGCCCCAGAAAGATTTCTGTGCTACCTGCTTACGTGTAACTCTGCTCTCTCCCTAAAAATCTGAATAAGGTAGGATCTAAACAAAACTCAAATCTGCTAAGGAACTGGTGTATCAACTGTGTATTTGTCTTACAGAAGAGTTGGCTTTTGTATTTTAAATTTCAATGTAAATTTTATTTACACTCAAGCATGAAAGTTTGCCCTTTCATGCAATATCTCAGCTTTCAAAGTAGTTTCTATGTCCTTCTATTCACAGTTAGGAAAGATGACAAAACCTGCTTTAGGATGACTACAGCTCAGTGTTGCCCAGCAATGTCTGGTAGTTCTCTTAAAAACCACAAATCAGTTTGCTCTGCATTAAAATATGTCCTTCAGAAAGAAATTTAAAACTCTCAAAGCTACATAAAATCCCAGGAGACAAGACCTTTAAATGAGAAGTGGGATCACTGAACACAAAAAAGAGCACAGATTAGTAATAGTAATAGTTTAAAAATTGGTATAAAGGATTGTTATAGCTTAAATTTAGATCTAATTGTTCCCTCAAAAGTCTCATGTACTTAGAGGTGGGTGACTGAATCACAAAAGCTCTAATTTCATTAGTGGATTAATCCACTGATGAAACCCTAAAGTGATGGCACAATTGGGATGAAATGGAAACTCAGGTAGTGGGGCCTTGTTGAAAAGAGTAAGTAGTAAGAGCCAATCCGGTCCCAGGCCTTTTTGTCTCTGGTTCTCTCTCTCTCTGCTTTCTGGCTGCCCTAAGGTGAGCAGCTTTTCCTCGACTACACCCTTCCACCATGATGTTTCTGCCTCACCACAGGCCTGAAAGCAACGGAGCCAGCAGACCATGGACTGAAACCATGAGTCAAAATAAATCTTTTCTTCCTTTAAAATGTTTATGTCCAGTATTTTGCCACAGCAACAGAAAGCTGGTAAGTATGAGTTTCTGTTACTAATGTATCAATATTAGCTCATTAATTGCAACACCATAAGAATACCATAGTAATATGTCAGTAAAAGAGGAAAGTAATTGAGGGGAGCATATTAGAACTGTACTATCTTGACCATTTTCCTTAAGTCTTAAATTGTTCTAAAAAGTAAAGTTTATTCAAAAAGATCTCACAGCTAAGAAGTGGAAGAAGTAATTTAGACTTCCATCAGTAGTAAGTAGCAAATAGTAAAATTACTGAAATAGTATTATTTC